GGTTTTCGGCCTACTGGTCTTCGGCTATCGCTCGGTCACTCAGTCTGTAAATCCGACGGGGGGCTGCGCCCCCCCAACCCCCGCGCTTTCTTAAGCCCTGTGGACGTGCTTTAGTGCACGTCGTACCGTCAAGAACCCTATATCGCCATTTGCGATTTCAAGTTAAGCACATAACTCGTATGAGGCCTTGCACAGGCAGTCCTGAAGAACCAACTCTTCGCCGCGCAAGCTTGCTTTAAAGACCATCGCGCCATCAAGAACGTAAAGCCACAAAACCGAGACGCCCAGAGCATGAACTGGCACGAAAGGCAACTGCGTAGACTGGCAGGGCCGGGGGCCGGTCCCAATTTGCTAACGCAACGCCAAGGGGACTGGCTGTTCGTCATATCTTGAACAGACGCCCTCGTTTGACGATTCGGTGACGATTCCGGCTCATCACAAGCCCCCTCATTCGGCGATTCCGGTTCACCATAAGTATATTTTACGCACGCTACCCTCTTTTGCCGATTCCTGATACATGTTTAACATGCCCCCTGCATTTGGCGATTCGGGCTTATCCTGTATATTAAACAGGCCCCCTCATTCGGCGACAACGGTTCAATATATGTGTGTATATATATATATATATATAACATGCCCCCTCATTTGGCGATAACGGTTCACCACCTCTCAAACCTGCCCCGTCTTTTGGCGATGACGGTTCATCATATATCTTAAACACGCCTCCCCATTTGGCGATAGCGGCTGCACCTGTTGATCATATATCTTAAAAACGCCCCCCTCTTTTAGCGATTCCAGTTCCTCATAGATGTCAGCACACCCCCTCATTTGGCGAATCCGTCTCACAATAATGATATCGTAGACACGAGCCCTCATGTGACGAGTCCGTTTCAACGCATATCTTAAACACGCCGCCCCTTTATTTGGTGATTCGGTTCATCACCTGTCTTGAACACGCCCTCTCATTTGACCATAACCATTCACCACATATCAAACATGCCCCTTCGTTTGGCGATATCGGTTCATCACATAATATATGTCAAACACGCTCCCTCATTTTGGCAATTCCGCTTCATCCTATAGTTTCAACTGTCACATTAGGCGACAACAGTTCACCGTATATCTTAATCACGCCGCCCCCTTATTTGGTGACTCCGGTTCATCATAGATCTTAAACATGCCCCCTCATTTGACGACACCGGTTCATCATGCATCTTAAACATGCCCCCTCACTTGGCGATTCCGGTTCACCATATATTTTAAACATCCCCCGCCCCTCTTTTGGCGATTCCGGCTCAACACGACCCCTCGTTTGGCGATTCCAATTTATCCCTTTATCTTAAACATGCCCCCTCGTTTGGCGATTCTGGCTCACCATCATTATATCTTTTTGACAAACCCCCTTATGTGGCGAGTCCGGTTCACTACATATCTTAAACACGCCGCCCCCTTATTGGTCATTCCGGTTTATCACATATCTTGAACACGCCCCTCATTTGGCGAGAACGGTTCATCATATATCTTAAACAGGCCTCATTTGGCGATTCCGGTTCACCATATGATTTACACATGGTACTCTCTTCAACATGCCCCCTCATTTGACGATACGGTTCATCACACATCTTAAACACGCCCCCTCATTTGGTGATAACGGTTCACCACATATCAAACATGCCCCTTCGTTTGGCGATTCCGGTTCACCATACATGTTAAACACACCCCTCATTTGGCGATTCCGGTTCATCATATATCCTGAACACGCCCTTGCCCACCCCCCTTTCGGCGACAACGGTTCATTATATATCTTACACGCAACCCCTCATGTGGCGATTGCCGTTCATCATACATGTTACATGCTGAACATACCCCCTCAGTTGGCAATTTCGGTTCACCACATATGTTAAACACACCGCCTCCATATTTGGAATGACTGACCGACTGACTGACTCACCGCTCCCTCTGGACGACCGACGGACTGACTGACAGACAGCTCGTTTGGCAGACCGACTGACTGACTGACTGACTGACTGCTCGGTTGGCGAACCGACTGACGGACTGACTGACTGACAGTTTTTGACTGACTGACCGCGCTTCCTTGGACGACAGAATCCGACTGACTGACTGACTGACTGACCGCCCCGTTGTCTCACCGACCGACTGACTGACTGACTGGCTGGCTGACTGACTGACTGACCGCTCCGGTTGGCTGACCGACTGACTGACTGACTGACTGACCGACTTATGGACTCACGTGCCCACTGAACGGAAAACCAAACAAATACCCAAAAGAAAGTTTGATTCGGAAACCAGGATGTTCTTGGGAGCGGATGCCTTGGCAGCATGGACGTTATCACCGTTCGGGCATGCATGCTATCGGTTGTGAATGCACTCGTGGCATACCGTCGGTTTCTCGTGCGCAGTTTCCGATGTGCACCGGTTGCAGCTGGGATGTTCCGGTTTCCGAGAAGCAACTTCTGATGCGCGCCAGTTCCCGATGGCAATGTCCGATGCACGCTGGTTTCCGATGCCCGCCGGTTTCCGGTTCAAGGGCCAGTTGCACTTGTTCCGTGCCGCGCACCGTACAAGCATTCAAAACACATGCCGAACTGCCTCTCATGTTAGTAAACCCATTGTGGCCAGCTGGGCGGGTTTAGGGGAGTCGATTCGAACCCCCACGGACGTGACAGCTGTCTCAAGCGGGGCGGGCCTGGCTGATCGGACCAAAACCAGCCATTGCCTTGACAGCGCCGGCACAGAAAGCAGCAGCTGCCATGATGGTAGCAAACTGCTTCTGGCGCTCCTCCGTTGCAAGAGCAGTATGAACCAACAGCACGAGCTGCGTCACACCAAGTCCTGCAGCTGCTGCTCCAGAGTCAATGATGCAAGAGGGCGTCTTCGACCTGGGTCATCCCTGCCGGTGGCTTTTCGGTATTACAAGGCCGTTTTTCGAGGCTGGTGTGCTATTTAAATGTGCGACATCAGGCTCGTCGCGCGCTCTACCTGTGCGTAACTTTGCGCTTCAATGACCTCCTTGCCCTTTGCCCACAAGAGCAGCTGCCACTTGGGGGAGATGTGGTTGACCGTGAGATGCTGCTGTTTGTTCAGGCCAAGGAGCCACCCGAACGACTGGAGTTCTTCTCAAGCTCGTAGTGCTCCATTCGCTGGAGATAGCGGTCCATGTCAGCCAGTGTCTTCTCTTCCAGTTCCTACGCCAACTGCAAGGGGCCCAACTTCTTCCTGTGGCTGAGACAAGGATCTTCCTAGCTCGCTCCTGGTGCGACAGCTCCCGCTTTGTTTTTGCAGCTTCAAGCCGGAGTCTCCTTTCCAAGGCTCAAAAGTGTGAAGTTCACACTGTTGCAGCAGCCTGTCCTGTGCTCAGCTTGTTCTGCCAGCTGGGCGCGTCTACGGTCCGGCTGGAAGCTCCGCAAGCAGCTGGAGGACATGATCTGGGCTGCAGCGACTTGGACGGGTCGGGGAGGCGCAGGCTCGAACCTGAGCTCCAGGAGGCTCGGCACTGCAACAGTCACTTTGAAATGCGGCATTTTTCTGATTGCTGCTCAGCAGCGCTGGATCCATTGCGAGAGGAGGCGGCGGCGGCTCGATCCGTCTTGCATATCCTGGGTAATAACGAGGACGGAGAGTACACCAAACCACAGCACGAAAATTCGAATCTAAGCGCCGAAAGCAGTCTAACTTGGCTTCCATGCTCGGCCTAGACCAAGGCATCTGGGCAGCTGTAGCGAGCCAGGCGATATCGAAGATCCTCCCGAAGATCCGATGGTTCATCCAGAAAGGCTTCCTGCTCGGACATGCGTACAGCAGCAGATGGCAGCAGGCTTTGGCACTACACCTCGCCTTGTCTCCGTTGGATCTTCCTTGGAAATGTTCCACTGAACTCCTGATATCCTCAATTGAAGCCAAGGCTGCATTCGTTGCCTGCCCGCATGCGGAGCATGCAAGCACATCCAACGACTTGCGGCAAGCTTGCAATGTGTGCCAAGCAGAACCTGACCTCCTCTACGCTTGCAGGCGGGAGCAATGAGGTGGCATGCCTGAATGCCTTGAATGCGTGCAAGAACCGTGCCAAGCAGGTCTCGCTTGCAAAGACTTCAAGCTGCATTGCCGCCAGTTGCTGTTGCACGCTTGGCCACCAAACCACCAGAGACCTGAGGCAGTGAACCTCAGAACGGAAATGATTAAAGTCTGGCAGGTGTTGAACTCCGAATCCGAACCGATTGCTGGTTCCCAATGCCCCAGGCATCCCAGGCACCTGCATCCGCATCTTCTATGGACACCTTCCGCGCAAAGGGCCCGACGCGGGCCTGGCCCTGGCAACGCGGCACACAGCGCATCACAGAACGCCGGCGCAGCTCTGCCTTAAAAGCCGAGCCTCTGCGATCCTCGGCAGCACAGGATCAGATCGGATCCTCAGCTTCAGAATCGGAGCGCGTGATGCGCAGAAGGCGCCTCTGCGCCAGGGCTCTTCCGGAGGCCTTCTGAAGCTGCAGGTCGGCCCCAGTTTCGCTCGGACACCTCTCAGAGCCGGGCCCGCCGGCCCCTCAAAGCCCCCACCCCCCCCTCAAAGCTCAGCGAGTTTTTTGGAGCTTCGAACCTTCACGAAACCATTCGTGCCGAACATCGCGGCATGTCCCGAACCGCGGGGTGGCAACGGCATCCATCCGAAGCAGCTTCCAAAGTCACGCAAGGCTCTGCCACATCACAGCGTCCCTCTACAGCTCTTCAGCAGTATTTGCTACTTCGTCACCCTACTACTGTCAGATTAGCCTGAGCATGGTGGGTGACAGAAAGATATGCTCGGCAGTGTGGGCGCGAATGACGTGACATGACCTGACATCACGCACTGTCCTGACCCAAACCAGTCATGAGCCTGTACTTGCTAGGCTGCGCAGTTTCGGCATGGACAGGCCCGGGCTACATTGAACAAGACTTGTAACAAGACTTCTCGTATGACTTCGGAATTTCCGAGAAGCCAGCTCCTTTCAATCGGGAAGGTGCGAGAAATCCATCCTGTGCACAAAGCACAAGGAGACTGCATGCCCCCTGCGGACTGCGAAGTCAGTAGCCTTCTCCACAGCACAACCCGACCCAGTGAGTCGGCACTCGCCAACAGCGTGTCCTGGCCGGAGCTCTGCCGGAGCCAACGGCTGACGCCGGCTGACGCGTGCCACGACGTGCCCCAGTGGCCCTGGGCCTGGTGGTTGGTCGCCACCGCCACGACAGGCACCTGGCTGCGTTCAACGAGGTTCACATATGTTCACATCTTCTCACCACTGCAACGACTTTCTCGCTGCCTGGTGATGCTTCAAGTAACTCATCTTGTAATTCGCACCCTTTGCAAGGGAGTAGATGTAGACCTGCTCAAGGTGCCAAGCGGCTTCATGTCAGCGACTTCGGCTGACACACAGCTTGAAGTACGCATGGCTGCGAAGCTCTGTAAGTGGGCACCTCCTTGTCCTCAGATGCAGAAATGAGATATCCCTGGCTGGACCTCAGCAAGCGACTTCATCCCGCAGTTTCTCCGAACGCTGGCAACGCCGGGAAGGGCCCGGCGGTGAATAACAGCACTTTAGAGGAAGCAGCGCATGGGCGACACGAACACCTGAGCGTGCAGAAGTCAGCTCCGATCAGTGCTGCTCTGCATTCAGGATGCTGTGAAACTGCATTAAGGTCAACACGGTGCCTCACAGCCAAGTTCGTGAGCACCTCGGGGCTTCGTTGTGCTGGTGTCAATTTAAAGCTGTGGACCTCTAAATGCACATCTCAGTGACCGACCCCGGGGGGAGGCCCGTACGTGCAATCAATGATCGACGCTGATGAGTCGGATGTGTTGACCTCAGACCAAGATAAGGGACGCTTGTCTGCGTTGTGCAAGCACCAATACGAGAAGCACGACTTCTCAAAGACTCAAAGGGCGTCGCCAACAAGCAAGGCGGCTGGCCATGGGCTGCAGGTACGAAGACCAAGCATGTCACGCCTGAAGGCTGCGTTCCACAACACGCAGCGCATCCGACATGCCGTCGGCATGGACAAGCTCGGGCATCCAACACGCAGGAACGAGGTGCAGTGTGCAAACAGGGCACGGAGCCTTTTCCGATCCTCCGTTGGTGCATAGATGCTGTCAATGCGAGGAAGATGTCAAGCGCAAACTGAAACTAGGCAAGCCCTTTGCTGCGGTCCACAATGTGTTCCGTGATTGCACGGATGCTGGGGTAGTCAAACATGAGGGCGGCTGGTAACTGCCCGATGCCAGAGAATTGTCTGGAAAGTTCATTTCTGAAAGCCACTGCAGACAGACTGTCTAGGCCGGATTCCATTAGTGGGGTATCCAGGTGCACCTCCTCATCTCCACCAGCAACTTGCTCCACAACATGCTGTAGTTTGCTTTGGACCATGTCCGGATCAAGTCCTTGCGCTACTGGCGCTGCAGAGGCTGCGCCTGGCACACCGCCAGCATCTGGACTTGCAAACATAGCATCGGGGATCTCTTGCTGCACTTGCTTCTGGACTCCTTTGATGAGCTCCATGACTCCAAGGACGCGGCCTTCGACCTTGCCATCCTCAGCCCGCCGAGCCAGGTCAAGTGCTCTGTTTGCAAGCTCCAAGGCCTTGGACTTATTGCCCATGGTATTTGCAACTTCTGCCGACAGACAGACTGCGCTGGCCTGGTCACCCACAGCACCACACTCCCGGAACATGTCCTCCGCCTTTCGGCAACAAACCAAGCCCTCCGTGCCACGGTTCAGGATGGCAAGCCCATGTGCCACGTGGGTCAAGGCCGTCGCCTCTGAGTACGGATCATCGTTTTTCTTTGCGATGTTTACTGCCGCCCTGGCCCTCTTGACAGCCTCATGAGCTGAGTTGCGTAGATTTCGGTTGGCTTGTATGCCCTGCTGGCTTTCCCCTTGCTTCCTTCCCTCAAGCTGCTGCAACTCCTGCCCGTGCTTGTCACCTTTGCGAAGGCTGGATGATGCCAAGAAGTGAAGGAGGGCCGTCTCACCACGGATATCTTCGATTGCCTTGCAATATTTCTTGGCCACCAATGCTAGTTTGACTGCCTCCCTTTCATCATCCTTGGCCAAGTGTGCGGCGGCCAGCTTTCGCAGAGCATCTGCATAACCCTTCTTGTAGTCCAGGTCTTTGCAAATGTCTTTCGCTTCATCTGCACATTCTATGGAAGAGTCTGCGGCCTGATTCGACAAGTGAGTGTCAGCAAGGCTCAACAAGGCGGCAGCTGCTCCTCGTCTGTCACCGGATTCGAGCAAAAGGGACTTTGCTTCCGACAACTTGCCGACTGCAGCTCCAAACTCCCCTTTTGCAGAGTGAACATTGCCGATAGCTGTGAGGGCAGCTGCCTCCAGCCGCCTGTCCTCCGTCTCTTGCGCGGCACGTAGGGCTTCTTGGGCAGTTGTCGCAGCATCGTCGTTCTTTTGATCGGCGATCTGTGCATTAACCAAAGCGACTGTTGCCAGAACCTCACCCTTCTTGTCCTGGATGTCATCCGCCAGCTGTTTGGCCTCTTCCGCAGCCTCTTTTGCGGAAGATGCCTTTTTCTGAGCTGCATGTATTGCTGATAGTGTAAGCAAAGAATTGAGTTGGCTCTGCTTGTCGCCGAGCTCCTTCAGGATTTCCAGCTCTTGATTCTGCTCCGACGCTGCCAAGTCCAACTCATGCCTCTCCTGGCGGACAAGGGCAAGAGCACCGTGTGCCGATGCCTCCGCTCGCTTGTCGCCTTTGGTTTCATATTCCTCCATCGCGCCTTCCGCTTCTTTCAAAGCACGCTTGAGATCGCCGCGTTGAACCAGTGAGCTCACCAGCAAGTGCAAAGCACTGCCTTCACCCTTGGATTGCTGCATTTTGCGGCACACTGCCAAGGATCGCTCTGCAAATTGAACGGCGGGCCGACTCTTCTCCTTGAAGACATGAACCTTCGCCAAGAGCTGCAAGGAGTTTACTTCGAGTCTGGGGCTGCTCACTTCCTGTGCGATTTCGAGAGCGGTGTGAGCTGTACTCAAAGCCTCGGCTGGACGCCCCGCATCCATTTGCGCCATGGCCAGCCAATTGCAGCACCTTCCTTCGCCGATCCTGTCCCCAGCTTCCTTGGAGAGGGCGACTGCCGACTGCGCAGAAAGAATGGCATCCTTGGACTGGCATCGACGGAGCTGTGCTCGTGCTTGGAGCACGTTGGCCAAAGCTTCCAGTCTCTTGTCGCCTGCAGCCCGCAGCAGTGGCAAGGCTTCCTCAATGCTGCTCAGGGCCTCGCCAGCCAAGGCCTTGGCTAACTGGCACTCTGCCAAAGCAAGCAACATGCAGCCTTGGCCTCGCTTGTCGTCTTCTTCTCGGAAACTCCTCAGCTCGGCCTGGGCTTTGTCGATGGCAAAATCTGGGGACTGCTTCAGGCGTTCTGCCCCACAGAGCAGGCGAACTGTGTCCTGCTGTCCGGCCTTGCACGCTGCTTCGCGAAACAGCTCTAGCGCTTGGGTACCCTTTTGGAGTGCCTCTTCCACCTCCTCATCTTGTATGTGGCTCTCTGCCACAGAATAGAGGAGAGCTGCCTCTCTAACTTTGGGGTTCTGGTTTTTGTCCTCGGCCAGCTGGCTGTAATAAGACGCGAGGCCGTCAGCCTCAGCTTCGAGGAGCTTCCTGGAATCTTCATCCAGCCGGCGACGCTGCACCTGCTCCTCGTTCTCTGCCATGCTGGCGTCGGGCCCCTGCCCCCCTCTCCGCGGCACCTGGGGATAATTACGGTGCCTTGATCACACAGCTGCGGCACTCCCAGCAATGACCCATGTGGACTCTAGGAATAGGCTCCGTTTCACCTTCATGGCCTCATGCCTTTTCAAGACTCATGTCATACAAACGGCAGAGCTTGTCGGAGCCTCCCCGTGCCAGCTGCACCTTGAACTTAAACTTCAAAGTGCTGGCATCTGTTGCCTCAAATTCTGCTGCATGAATCAGCCAATCGCCAAGGCCCACAGACAGGAGCAGGCCTCCAAGACGTGGATGGAACCACTTTTCGTGCCAGCCTGGCAAGTGCCGACACGTTGCTGTCTCCGCTGCCCTGCTGCGGGAGCTCACTCAGACGGTGGCCAGCAGGAATAGGCCCGTATCGTCGAACTTCAAAGTGCGCACTTCGGTTTCGACCTGCAGGACCGCTGACAGTCACATGTCCTCCGAGCACCAGTGGCAGGCTTTGGGTGTCTTTGGGTCTTGGCATGGTTCATCATTCTAGCCTTGAGCTTCTGCAGGACCATGCCGTTCTGCACGTTCACGAGCCGCAGGACGGCATTCGAGTTGGCTGCAACAAAAACCTGACATGAAAACTCCGTGGAGGTGGGGCGGACCAAAACCCACAACATCCGACGAAGCCTGCGGATTGAAAGGTAGGAAAGCAGCCACTGGCACTGGAGAAGAGTCTGTGAAAACCTGCACCACGGCAGATGGCACAACTAACGTGCAAGTCAACACTGCCTTCAACATCTCCCCGGTGTCCACGTTCCAGAAACGCACTGACTTGTCAATCGATGTTGTGACCTTTCAAGCACACACGGTTGGGGTATCATCACACTCGGTCAGTGAAAGAGCGGTGGGGATGTTCACCGGATGAACCAGACTGAGTCATGCCAGACCCACACCCGTGGCTTTGAAGGAAGCTTCGAGGGCGGCACTAGCTGGTCCTCCAGTAGATTGAAGAAGACCGAGGTAATTGCACGGGAATGGCCGACAAGCCGAGAATGTACCTTAAGTGAGCGTCGGGGAAGCAAACTAAAAGCTGCGGCTGCGCTGCCATCGATTGCCCCTGGGCCATCAGCGGCGATGTTAGAATGATCAGGAGGAGGCGCTGCCTGTGACGAGACTGCCCACGTCCAGACTCACGAAAACATCGAGTTTTACCAGGGCTCGATCGTTGTCTCCCCGGAAGTCTTCCGCAGCCAGCATTGCAATCTCCATTTCAGTCCTGTGCTGCTTCAAAGGAAGTTTTATCGTAAGAAGCTGAGCCACTGTTTCAGTCCTGTAGCATCGGTATACCACGACTGTACCATCTTTGGATGCTGTGACGAAGAGTATGTACCTGAATTCCAATACCAGTGACAAACTGCAAGGGTTGAGCGAACTGGGAGTGCTTCTCCGCATACTGCGGGTGTCTCATACTGCGATGTTTATAGCCGCCAGCCCAACTCACACATGGAAGTTCAGCTAACGCTTCGCTTTGCTTTCAAAGCAAAGGCGGAGTTTGCTGACCTCGCTTGAAACTCATGGATCTCTGTACAGATTCGCCCGTAGGCTAAATTGAGTTTCCGCAAGTCGAGAACGACTGCCGCCATTGCTGCCACTGTAAGAGCAATGCACAGTTCTTAGTACTCTGGCAGTCCATGCAAGCTCGCCATGCTGTGCATACCAGCTCCTGGGTCCCTCCAGCTTCAGAGTCGTCCCAGCAGATACTTGGTACTTCTACGTTAATTTCGTTGACTCGTGGGAATCGCAATTCAAATGTGTCGAAAAGCCTGATCTGCTGCCTTGTGTTCAAAGCGTCAAAGCGGCAGAGATGCTGCAATGCGCAACCGTGGCCGTCAAGCCCTTGCGTCATTTCGTCAGCTGTCATCTTGAAGCTGTAAGCAGTTCCACCACTGTGTCAAATTCCGCCGTCCATCCTGCATCTCAGCTCTGTGCCCTCTCCGCTTCCCTGTGCTGAACCAACAGGAAACAGTCTCTTGAGCAAATCTGGTCAGAATGCGTGAGGGCATCCATGGGCTACTCCAAACCGGACTATGGCAGTCCTTGAAGTCAAGCATTAATGCGTAGAACCTTCGGTAGTCCACAGCTGCAGCCAAATACTCCTGAGAAGTTAGAGTCTTAGAGTGTGCTCAAGACCCGAACAAACGGCTGCCTGAGACATACGCTTCTTCACTGCGACCCTTTGCGCAGGCGAGGCTCGAAATACTGAAATTTGGAGTTGCCTTCGTTTCGCTTGCGGAAGCCTCACGATCGACTACGTGCACTGCCAGATGTCAAGAGTTGAAACCCACTAAGCCTACCAACAGCAAATGAGCGGCACTCCTCCACTGCCTGCTCTGCTGTCACGCCTTCATTCTCCAGGAACTGATCCGTCCTTCTTCGCATCATTGCTTCGTACTCCTGACGAACAGAGAGGATGCGACTGCGAGTGCCCTCGGTTCGTGCCGCTCCTTGCCTCATCAAAATTCTCTGAGCGTTCAATACGTTCATTGTCAAAAGATAGCACAAGCACTGCGTTGCAGCAGCCTTTGCAGCCCGACCCAATCCCGCTCCTGAAAGAGGTTATGCCACTCGTGCGGATGATCCTCCCGGCACTTTGGTAGGAAATGCTTCGGGATTGGCAAAGTTTCCAGCGGCTGTCTTTGAGAGTTTCTTCCTGTGTCAGCTTGCAGCTGCATTACGTGCCCGAATCAAGTGAAACCTTCCAAATCGCGGAAAGCCTCTCTTATCATCTGTAAAATGCCTCATGACGACCTGCAAGCTTACAGGTCCCCTTCCACATCTCCGGAAACTGTGACACTTTTTGCAATATGTGGAGTAAACACAGCGATTGGCGATGACAACTTTCTGGACGAACCGAACCAAAATACGTAGAAGTCAATGAGCAATCCGGCCAGCTAGTCGGGCGTGGTTGGCTTCCGGGTTGGCGCGGGTGTGGAGAAGGGCACGAAGCTCAAATTCCATGCAGAATGAATCGACGGAAGTACCAATTGGATCCGCCGATTCACCACAGTTTGGCAGAGGGTCGGGTGGCGGTGCACTTTCTTAAGCACGAACATGCGATTCATCTGAAGTTAAGCAGGAATTCCGTAGACACATCAAGCAACAAAATGAAACCTGATAACAAGCAAACTAGCTTTTGGTTGGCTTTTATGTGGTTGGCGAGGAGGGGAAATTCCGGGCAACGCAGCAAAGTCAGATTTGCGGCGGAGACGCACATAGTGCGCTTTTTCTTCAAGCGTGTCAGGTACTGGCAGATAGACCGCCGCCCCTAACATAGCTTTGCTGCACTGGCAGGAGCATCGACACAGTTTGACAAACCTGCGACGTGCGTTGGCTGGTGGATTTCGCAGACTTGCGCGCAGGCACGTGGCATGTTCCCCTGGACGATGTCTCTCGGACGATTCTCGAGCTTTGCTGCCGCGCCGGTTTAGCGTGCTTGCTAGAAGTCCTAGTGTGTGTTGGTGCCTCCAAAACCTTCTCTTCGTGCCTGCTTTGACCACATTTGTCTGGATTGGCTTTGATTGCAGTGATTGGGACTCTGTTCGAGGTGGTTCCGCAAATGCAGGTCTTCTGCGATGAGGGACCTCTACGTACTTCTGCCAGTTGGGTTGTGCGTAAGTTTGGTGAGACAGCCATGTGAGAGTAAATGCTTGAAAGCTTAACAAAAACCTTAGTTCTTGAAATGCCAGGGTGCGTGCCGAGGTGATCCCGGCCCCACATCTTCAAAGATTGGGGCATGTCTTTGCGCAAAGGCGTTGATTTCCATGAGGCACGAAGCTGAGAGCAAGTAGTCCTCAAGTCCTTAAAACCAGGAGCAGAGAGCAGGGAGAAAGCATGAAGATTGATCGTCGGACTCTACTTCAGCGTCTGTTCATGCCCACCGAACCTATCCTTGTCCATGAATCCGGTTCCCTGGGGCAAAGCCTGTTTGAAGCTTGTTTCGGCAAGGGTCTGTATGCCAGTGATCCATCGTTAGTTGGTCCAGGCGGGTGGGCATGCGAGTGCATCTCCAAGTGGGCGACGTCCACCATGGCCGAAGCCTTTGACCTGTGTGCAGCCTCCAGGACTCTTGGGCCAAAGACGTGAAAAGATGCCTGCTAGCAGGCCCTTCGGAAAGCCGCATGCTTTCAGAGGGCGCAAGGTCTTGGGAGAATCTCAGCGAGCAATTCTCACTGAAGCAGGGGCACGCCCTGTGAAGCCTTTCTTGGCCAAAACCTCGAGAGCACAGAAGCAAGGCTTACATGGCTTCCCTGCTTTCGTGAGTCCCGGGCATACGCAGGTGACTGCGGACTCTGAGTCCTGGAAGGGAAAGAGACTGCGATCGACCCCGAGTCCCATAGAACTTCCATCGCATCCTGCAACTCTTGAACAGGCTTAAGATCTGCGTTGGGGTCGACATCACGTTTAGCCTCTGGCAGCAGGATTTTTGCCAAATCAGAACGAATGTTGGCTGTGTGCCTGGCCTGTTTCATCGCCTTAGTGCCCTTCAGGGATGCTCGCAGAACTCCAGCGGCCTTTCGAACAAACATGCTCGTACGCTCTCGTGCTTCTAGAGGAAAGAAACCTGGCCTTGCCACCCTTCTCTGGCGCCGTACCGAACCAGGACCTAAAAGAAGCGTGATGAAGGCTGCCGCCCTGCGAGATGATGCTTCCAAAGGCCGCGGCTTCACGGAGTCAATAGCTGCTGAGATCGAGCTGCGTTTTTGCCTCAAAGCGTCTCGATATGTCTCGATTCTCGATCTCTACCCTTCCGATTCGACCAAACCATTGAAGGACAAGCGAAGGCCCCTGCGCATCGTCAGAAGTCGCTCCATCGGGAGCCGCATCTGAACCGCCAACAATCCACTAAACTTCATCGACAATCCCACTGAACCTTCTGCTGGCGCTTGCGTCTCGTCCTGGCTGGCAGCGAACCTGCGAGAAGGCATGCACAAATGCCCTGTCAAGAAACATCCTGGCACTTTCCCGCACCTAGCCCAGTCCGACAACGAAATGCCTTCGCCCACGTAGGCCTCGGAAGGCGTGACCAAACCCTTGCTATGTCAAATCTAGAAGATGCATCAATACTTGTGTGACCTTGCTTTGGCTGGGTGTCGCACACCAAGCTGAGTGCCCTTATCGTGAGCTTCCTGCAAGTTGACCTGTGCATCCCGCCGGCGGTTTTGGCTGTTTTGGATTGGCTTGTTTTGGCTTGTTTGCTTGATTGTTTGGTTGTTTGTTTGTTTGCTTGTTGGTTTGCTTGTTTGTTTGCTTGCTTGCGTGCTTGCTTGTTTGAGTCTGTGTTTGCTTGTTGGTGTGTTTGTTTGCTTGTTGTTGTTTGCTTAGTTCTTTCTTTGGAATTGTATGGTTGGTTTTGTTTCATTTGGCTTGTTTCGGCTTGCTTGCTTGTTTGGTTTGTTGCTTGTCTGCTTGTATGCTTGTTTGCTTGGTCTGCTTACTTGCTTGTTTGTTTCTGTGCTTGTGTGTTTGGATTTGTTTGTTTGCTTGTGTATGTCTTGCTTGTTCGATTTGTTTGTTTGTGTCGAAACAACACGTTCTCTATCTTTCCCCAACTTTACGACTTTGCCACATTCATGGCTCAAGACCACATGATCACTTCGTGCGATCCTGGAAAGACATGCTCTGTGACTTTCAGGGTTACTTTGACATAAGGCTGAATGAGCTGTGCACATAATGCTTTAGAGTGTTGTTTGTGTACAATCTGAGTATGCTGTGCTTTCGCATGGTAGCGGAGCTGAAAGCTCCAAGGAACTTCGGTGAGAAGACATGGCCTCAGGAGGCGAAGGAGACTTTACAGGAAAGCTTCGGCTTCCCTTGCCTGAGACTTTCAGCGGCAACCCTGCCGACTGGGAAGTATGGGCCGCATTTCGATGTTCGAGAAAGGTGTTGTTACTTGCACAAATACCCATTTGGTAAATTGGCACTCCATTTCTTCAGTAAGCTCCATAAAATGAGCACACTTCACCCTCAGCTTGCCTCTGACGTGCATTGTGAGGCTAAGACTTTGCAGGGCACTGTAAAGCCTTCGCACGATGGGGTTGCGGCCGTTTTCGCGTACCTTTGCAATGAGCTCGAGCTTGTCATTCCCAACGCCAGTTCCTTCATCCTCGAGTCCACTTCGTGAGGCGAGATGTGCTTGTGTGAAGGCAGCAACCAATGCTTCCGAAACTTCTTCCGAGACTTCTTAGACACAGCGATTCGCAAATAGCAACTTTGCTCAAGAGGGCAGCAAAACGATTTGACTGCAACATCGATGCAAACATTCCCGATGCGGATCCTTATCAGGTTTTTGTTCGACAGCAATTTTCGCTCAGACTCCAACTTTGAACTACTAAAGCCTTACCTGCAGCGCCTACCGAAGGACCACCGCTACGCCAACACTATGTTGGAGACAATTCTTACCGGTGCAATCTATACAGGGCCGCGCTTGAAGGCGTCAGGTCTCACAGACACTGACGAATGTTCTGCCAGCGCTGCAATCGAAAATCATCCACACTTGTTTATGCAATGTTCGCTGTATGAAAAAATGCGACCACGAAGATCTTCTGAACATCTGGTTCACCGGTATCTTCTTGGTGCCCGATGAAACACAGGATAGTCAGCTAAATCACGGCTCTCTGGTCAGTTTTCCAACTCAAGGCGAACGTTTCGCTGTAGAAACAGAAGTCTTTGTCGACGGTTCTAGAGATGGCGCCTGTTGTGAACTTCCGCGTCAGCAGTTGTCATCCCTGGTCAGTTTGAGAAGGCTTGTTTGTTGCCTAGAAACGATCACACCTCGCAGCGCGCAGAACTGTATGCAGTTGTGTGGACTTTGAGACGTACATTTGGACCCTTATAAGGATTTATGGTGACTGCGCGTCAGCATTTGACAGGGCCCTCCCTCTCAAAACTGCCGGGTACAGACGCCCGCAACTTTGATAACTACGACTTGCTGTGTGAGTTCCTAAAGGAGGCTTCTCGTGAAAACGGTCGCAATGTGGTGGTTGTCAAAGTGAAAGCACACGTTTCGTCTGACTTTGAAGGTCAACCTGAATGGATGGCTGAAGGCAACGCCGCAGCGCATCGATTGGCGAAAGCTACAGCCAAAGAAGCATTTCTTAGCAAGTTGAGCCGTGTGACACCTTTCTTGCATCGAGCCGCTGGCATTCAGCCCCACCTACAGTAGTAGCCACTTTGGTTGGTAGGAAGGAGCACAGTAGTTCGTCTTGGGACCCAGCCTGTGAGGAAGGCGCAGAGCCCTTCAAGGAGTTGCGTACATCCTCATGCTGTTGTTCTTGCTCCCCGGTTTCTCGCGCTAGGGGTAAGACTTCAGTTTGCAGGGGTAGTTGCGACACTCACAGGCTTCGAGTGCTGGAAGACGCCTTCCAGAAAGCTGTCGCTCGTGGTTCGGTCCCTCCAAATGTGGCAAACCGCATTTGGATGCTTCATCCCAGCTTTAAGGCTTCCGTACAGTTCGTTGGTGTACCCCCAGTTCTCCCCCAAGAATATGTAGGTATTCGCCTCAGGGGCTGTCTGGTGTCATCTGGTTTGTGTACAGCGTGAGTTTATCACTGATGGCCAATGGAAATGGGGCACAAAGAACTCCACTGAACGCACTTCATGGGTGGTGTTGTGTGAGGATTTTGTAGCCAAGTATGGGCTGATGTCTGGGTTCATTCACAAGTCCACGTCTTTCGGTGTGGTCCTTGCACAACACCATATGAAAGTTGACGTTGTTTCCGGCTTGAGGCACGCTACGATGCTCGGGTTTGGTAGTCTCGGGGGTGTTTCAACTGCAAGAAATTGCAGCGCTCCTTTGCAGATACTCAGTTGGTGTTTTTGAGCATCTCAAAACAGCTCCACAACCTTAACAGTAAGTTCAGGGCCAAACCTTTCACTTCCCTGGTTCCTTCGTGGGACGAGCTTTTGTAGTTGATTGTAACTGCTTTCCTTGCAGATCGGACTTTGATTCATTCCGTTAATGGCTCTCTCGGCAAGCTTGACAAGCTCTTCGTCCGGAGGCTCGTGAGGCTAATGGATACCATGGGTAAAAAAGTTACTCTGCTAAATGATGCCGAGGCCCGAAATGATGAATTTCTTGATGAGCCTTTCACAGTCACTTTGGACACAGGTGATGATGATGCCGAGGCAACTGCAGCCCGAGTATTTTTCTCGCGGAAGCTACATTACTTGATTTCACGACAAAACGAAGACAGCAACGCCTTGAAACTTGGAGGAGACTTTTCAAGAAGTTCTCGCTGCCAGGAGCAACACGGAGCACGTCACTTTTGACGCAGCTCTTGGGCTTCAAGTTCAACCCAGCAACCTTTGAGCAGGACTTTAATGTTTGGGAAACAAATAAACCAAGGTATGAACGACAGTCAGGTGTATCTTTGCCTGATGGTGTGCTTGTAGCATCTTGTAGCAACTTAGCAACTTCGCTGAACAAGACAACGGGAGTTCTGCAACAGCGAGAATTTTGCAAACAAAAGCACAGGTGCGCGGGGTTATCCTTGAGTACAATCGATCGCGACTTTTGATGAATCCAGTTTCACAAACTTCGGCGAATGCAACTTTCCAAAGCGGAGCTTCGGCTCCCATGGACATTGGTGCTTTTGCAGCAGCTTTGTGGAAAGGAAGAGGAAAAGGAAAAGGAAAGAAAGGAAGAACAGGAAAAAGACGGAAAGGAGGAAAAGGAAAAGGAAAGCACTTTTCGAGGTCGCAAGGAAAAGGAAATCAACATTTCAACAGGGAAAGGGAAAGGGAAAGGGAAAAGAAATGGAACTTCGAGCTCCACTTCGGTGTGCTGGTAGTGTGGCAAACATGACACTTTGCAAGCAACTGTCCCACTTACCGTGCTTCGGCTGCTGATGGTGAGGATAACTTTGGAACGACGACCAAGGTGATTGGACTTAGTTTGGTGAGTCTGATGATTGGTCCGAGTGGACCGAGTGGGCGATCAACGCCGTGAACGGACTTTACAACGACAACAGTAGTTGGGATCAGACTCGGGATGATTCACCTTGGTCCTGGCTTTTGGTTCCCAAAGCCAAGCCTAAAGCGAAGGCGAACATTAGCCCGCGCACTTTGCTCATGTCGGCTGTTGTTCTGGGCAACTTTGGTTTGGGAAACACTTTAAGAGTGGATGGGATGACGAGTGGAGTTGTAGGCTTCAACTTTGGTCGTTTCGGTGAGTCTTCTGACTTTGTACCTCCGGCCTTGATGGCTCCGCTTGGGACTTTCTCCTGGAATGGTCGCACGGATGAGAACCAACGACTTTTCAGTGCTGGTGATCTCGGGCATAAGAATTTGAATACGACTTTCAAGGATGTTGCTTTGGAGGAGCATTTGGTGGCATCTACTTTGGAAGATACGGATCCCTGGATACTTTTCGATTCAGGAGCTGCCACACATTGTTGTCCCAAGTACTTTGGCCACTTTTGCCACCCAAATGGAAGGCTCCACCTTTGAGGAGCATTTCGAGTCAACCTTTGACGATCTTCGGAAGGCGACTTGCGAAGGTTGACTTTCAGGGCCAGCCCTGCTTCTTACACTTTTACGTTTGTGACGTTCCCTTTTTTTTGCATCAGGACTTGTGCAATCGCCTTGTGACGTTCCCTACTGCGTAGTATCTGTTGGTAGACTCTTAAGATCAGCATTTGATGTGAGCCTTTCTGCTACGAAACCGAACACACTTTCGACGCCTGATGGACACGAGGTGCCCATCATTAGGCATGGCTTGCTTTTGTTCTTGAGGCCCACTTTGGCACCGTTCAACAAGGAAGAGTTTGAGGTCGCGCGCAACACTTTTCACAACACGTGTGCACAAGGTACCTTAGTGGCCCCAACTTTCAAACCTTTGGTACAGTAGCATGTTGACAAGTGGGAGCTCTCGGGTAACACTTTAACCCGCATACACAAAAGAGCTAGAGCTACTTTCTTTTCTCCCGAAGG